GTCTCACTCTGTCACTCAGGCTGGAGTGCAGTGGCGTGATCTCAGCTCACTGCAACCTCCAACTCCCGGAGCAATTCTTGTGTCTCAGCCTCCCAAGTAGCTGGGACTACAGGCATGAGCCACCATGCACAGCTAATTTTTTTGTATTATTAGTAAAGACGAGGTTTCGCCATCTTGGTCAGGCTGGTCTCAAACTCCTGACCTCAGGTGATCCACCCACCTCAGCCTTCCAAAGTGCTGAGATTACAGGCATGAGCCATCCACCACGCCCGGCTCCATATTGCATTTAGATGTCCTGTCTTTTTCTTTTAGACTGAGTTTTGCTCTTGTTGCCCAGGCTGGAGTGGAATGGTGCAATCTCGGCTCACTGCAACTTCCGCCTCCCAGGTTCGAGCGATTCTCCTGCTTCAGCCTCCCAAGTAGCTGGGATTACAGGCATGCCCCACCACACACTGGCTAATTTTGTATTTTTAGTAGAGACGGGGTTTCTCCATGTTGGTCAGGCTGGTTTCGATTTCCCGACCTCAGGTGATCCACCTGCCTTGGCCTCCCAAAAGTGCTGGGATTACAGGCATGAGCCACCATGCCTGGCCGATGTCCTGTCTTTAGTCTCCTTTAACCTGTAACATTTTCACAGCTTCTCTTTGTCTTTTATGATATTAACATTTGTATAGAACACCATCCCCCTTCTGTTTTTATTAGTAGAAGTTTCCTTCTTTGGGATTTATCTGGATGATTCCTTAGGGTCACATTTAGGCTATATATTCAGGTTATGCAGGCCAGACTAAAAGACGTGTCTTTCTCAGACAAACCAAAATACCCTTGACAGTGAAAGATGATGCTTACTATATTTATGCTGAGATAGTGGGTGTAAATGTGGACTGTTTTAGGCAAACTGGGATGTATGGTTACCCTATTTATATAAGTGATTATTCTCATTTTACCAGTGCCCATACTGGACTAGATAGGTTACATCACTGGTCCCATCACTTAACCTCAGATCTCTATTCTAACAACATCCATTTCCTGCCCCCAAACTAGTGCCATTCAACTGTATTTAGAGTGACTCTTCCACAGTTGACCTTCTATTAAGTCCTGTGGAATCTCTCTCTACAAACATGGCTCTTGAATTAACAAATTCATTCAGCAATGATTTCTTCCTTATGCATATGATCTCTACTCTGACTGAACAGTCTCCCACCAGTGATGTGGTCTTCAGGGTTGTTGACAAATATGGTACACTTCTTCTAAGCACATAGCGGGATTGCATTTCCCAGCGCACCTGAAGTCAGACAATACAACCACAGCATTTTGCTAAGACCTTTATTTTAGAAGTTATCCAGATTATCTTGTGTTTTCCTTAGTTAGTATGGATTTGCCTCTTGCACGCTGAGGGCAGAGACTTGACTTTGTGCAATATTTAACTCTGAGGCTATGCTTTGTGAGGAGCTATTTTCTAAGTGTTTATTTCACTGGATTAAATTGAAATACTATCTTTTCCTTTGTTACGTTTCTAGAATATATTTTTCTCAAATGGGATTCCCATGTGTGGTGGACTGAGTTATGGATCCTGAGTGTGCAGTCCAGCATGATGGGATTATCCACCCACACCCTTGCCAGGGCCCAGGCTGCGCCCTGCCTCCTTCTTGCCTCTTGACTTTATTTGTGGCCATGTGATTTGCTTTGACCAATGGGATGCCAGCAGACATGATGCAAAGGCCTGGGATGAGCTTGTATGGCTGGGCTTGCTCTTGTGCTTTCGTCATGGCTAGTTCAGAATGATGAGGGACATTGGGAGCAGAGCTGCCCCCACTGAAAGGAGACCTGCAGCTGGAAGGACAGTCGTCCAGCTGAGCTCCTAGCCCCAGGGAATGCAGTGATAAATACACCTATGCCATTTAGCTTTGGGGGCAGTTTGTTCTGTAGCAATAGCTGACTGATACATGATATCAAAGGGAACAAATGATTTTATTATTCTTATTTTTTTTTTTTTTAGACAGAGTCTCGCTCCATTGCCAGGCACCAGACTGGAGTGCAGTGGTGGGATCTCGGCTCACCGCAACCTCCGCCTCCTGGGTTCAAGCAATTCTCATGCCTCAGCCTCCTGAGTAGCTGGGATTACAGGTGTGCACCACCACGCCCAGCTAATTTTTGTATTTTTAATAGAGGACGGGGTTTCACCACGTTGGCCAGGATGGTATCGATCTCTTGATCTTGTGATCTGCCTGCCTCGGCCTCCCAGAGTGCTGGGATTACAGGCGTGAGCCACCGCGCCTGGCTCTTTTTTTTTTTTTTTTTTTTTTTTTTCTATTTTTTGAGACCAAGTTTCGCTCTTGTTGCCCAGGCTAGAGTGCAATGGCGCGATCTTGGCTCAACACAATGTCCACCTTTCTGGTTCAAGCAATTATCCTGCCTTAGCCTCCTGAGTAGCTGGGGATTACAGGCATGCACCACCACTCCTGGCTAATTGTGTATTTTTAGTAGAGATGGAGTTTCAGGTTGGTCTCGAACTCCTAGCTGCAAATGATCCACCTGCCTCGGCCTCCTAAAGTGCTGGAATTACAGGCGTGAGCCACCATGCCTGGCCGAACAAATGATTTTATAACTCTTGCTATATGTTGGTCTTGCTCTTGAGGAAGCCCGAAGTCAATTTACCATGCTATTAGCATGGTGTATGTGCACCTACAAAAATATTCATGTGGTTCTCCTCAATATGACCACACAATCAAATTTTATGTACTTTTATTTATTTTTATTTTTACAAATAAAAGAAATGAGATCTCACTATGCTGCCCAGGCTCATCTTGAACTCCTGACCTCATGAGATCCTCCCATTTTGGCCTCCCAGAGTTCTGGATTATAGGCATAGGCCACTGCACCTGGCCAAATCTAATTTTAAATGGTTTAAGAAAATAGAGCAATAACCATGCCACCAGCATAGTTTAGGGCCTTACATAGCTTTATTCCTGACTGAATCTATTATCTTAAGGTAATAATCTGGAGTAATAATAAACTCCACAAAGATCTGTGTAATTTTCTTTCTCTATCTTTGATAACTATGATTTTAATTTGTAGTATAATCACATGCAATTCATATAGTTAGTAATTATATGGTGCTACTAATCCTTACTTTTAAGAAAACAGCCCTTTTGAAAATAATTTTTAAAGTTGGAGATATGATAAAATATTTATATTCAGGTCGTCAAGTGATAGTAATTTCTTTCAGCACCCACAATTTACTTTTAAATTTGTCAAAGTCTAGCTATTTATATATATATATATATATATATATATATATATGCATATATATGTATTTTCTTTTTCTTTTTCTTTTTTCTTTTTTTTTTTTTTTTGAAATGGAGTTTCGCTCTTGTTACCCAGGCTGGAGTGCAATGGCACGATCTCGGCTCACCACAACCTCCGCCTCCCGGGTTCAGGCAATTCTCCTGCCTCAGCCTCTCGAGTAGCTGGGATTACAGGCACGCGCCACCATGTCCAGCTAATTTTTTGCATTTTTAGTAGAGACGGGGTTTCACCATGTTGACCAGGATGGTCTCGATCTCTTGACCTTGTGATCCACCCGTCTCGGCCTCCCAAAGTGCTGGGATTACAGGCTTGAGCCACCGCGCCCGGCCTGTATTTTCTTTTTCTAAAAGATTGTCCTGAAAATCCAACTGTTAGTTCCATAATAAAAATTAAAATGAAACACAGTGGGGGAAATCCTTTATTATTCTGTAATTGAGGATTGGCCAATTCATGGCAGATCATTTGAGCCCAGGAGATTGAGACTAGCCTGGGGCAACATAGCTAAATCCTCGTCTCATTTTTTATTACACTTTTTTTGTATTAAATTTTATGTCAAAAAAGAAAAGAAAGAATCTTTTTTTTTGTTTTGTTTTGTTTTTGAGATTGAGTCTCACTCTGTCACCCTGGCTGGAATACAGTGGCACAATCTCGGCTCACTGCAGCCTCGGTCTTCCGAGTTCCGCAATTCTCCTGCCTTAGCCTCCTGGGTAGCTGAGATGACAGGCACGCGCCACCAAGCCCGGCCTAATTTTTGCATTTTTAGTAGAGACGAGGTTTCACCATGTTGGCCAAGCTGGCCTCGAACCCCTGACGTCAAGTGATCCGCCCACCTCGGCCTTCTAAAGTGCTAGGATTACAGGCGTGAGCCACCTATTATAGCAATGCCATGTGTGGGGGCTCTATTTGTTTTTTCCATTCAAGAAAGGATGTCAAACTCCATCAGAGCATGGGTGAATTATAATAACATAACCGTGAATGTCTCCTAAGTTGTATGTCTCCTAAGTTGTAGGCTCATACAAATATGCACCGGTATTACTAACAAATTACTTTTGACAAACCTTACTACTTACAGAGACATGCCATTTTATTTTGCATCCGTGGTTAAGAACCTCTGGCATAGGGAGCGGTCCTAAATGTCATGTTATGATTATGAAAAAGAATTGCTGTATGGATAGCCGAGCACTTGGAAATAAAAAGACAAAAAAAATTGCTTAAGTAATCAGAAAAAAAAAAGCATTGTTAAAGAGTTCTGTAGCTGAGAGTTTTAATGAGAGAGGAGACAAGTGACAAGTCTTGGGCTCTTGAGCTAGTCCAAGTTTAAAGAGCTCGCCTGGGGATTCCTTCACAGTCCCCAGTGGAACCAGTCAAAAGAGCGTCATGCCTCCCGTGTCCCCTGACCCTCCATTCAATCAAAAGCAACAGACCCGAACAATCAGGGAACAAAACCCTCATTGCCCAGTGTAACCTTCCAACCCCGGAGCTGTATGGGCCGCTAATCCGCCGCACAAAGCGGGCCGCTGCTCTTTTCTTCTCCCTCGCCCGGGCCCAGCGTGGCGCCCAACTGCTGATCGGCTCTGGAACGTCCCAGCAGCGCGCCGGGGGCCTCCGGTGTTTATTTATCGGGCTGCGGGCTGCGCCGGGGGCCTCCTGGAGAGCCGGCTCCGCGCCATCCGCGCGCCCGCGCCAGAGCAGCCATGTACCGGCGCAGCTATGTCTTCCAGACCCGCAAGGAGCAGTACCAGCGCGCCGACGAGGCTTCGCGCACCGCCGAGCCCGAGCGCCCGGCCGACGAGGCCTGGCCTGGGACGACCAGCTTGGCGGCGCTGCAGGGGCTCGGCGAGCGCGTGGCCGCCCACGTCCAGCGGGCCCGAGCGCTCGAGCAGCGCCATGCCGGGCTGCGGCGGCAGCTGGACGCCTTCCAGCGCCTGGGCGAGCTGGCGGGGCCCGAGGACGCCCTCGCCCGCCAAGTCGAGAGCAACCGCCAGCGCTCCCGGGACCTGGCGGCCGAGCGCGCCCGGCTGGAGCGCCAGGGTACCGAGGCACAGCGCGCGCTCGACGAGTTCCGGAGCAAGTAAGCGGCGGCCATCGGGGGAAACCGAGGCAGGGCGTGGGCGGCCCCGGCGGCGCGGGGCTGGGAGCACGCGGCCTCCCATGCAGGGGTGGAGAGCCGTCTCTGGTCCCCTGGCGATCGATGACCTCATCCCTGCACGCAGATGGCACTTTTCCTTAAGCTAAGACTAGCTTCTATTTCGATGGCACGCCACGGCTTACACGAAGTTGTACCACTTACTCTTCATATGTTTTTAAATTTAGGTATAACTTACATGTTATAAAATGCACAGATTTTAAGTGCACAGTTCAGTGAATTCTGACAAATGTACATACCCGTGTTACCAGGAAAACAAGCGAGATATTTCCACTACCCCTGAAAGTTCCCTCCTCCCCTTTCCCAGTCAATCCCTTTGCCCCAGACCACAGGCGCCCGTTCCGATTTCTGTCACCGTAGGTTGACTTTGCCTGTTCTACAATTCCACAAACATAGAATCTAACGGGATGTACTCTATTGCCTGGCTTCTTTTGCTCAGCACATTGTTTTTGAGATGTATCAATGTTATTTAATCCTTACAGACTTATCTGTACTGCCCCTGTTTTACAGATGAGGCGACTGAGGCTCAGAAAATGTGGGGATTTGAGGCAAGGCCCCTCAGCTCCCTCAGCTAGTGAATTGCTGACCTGGGATTGGAATTTACGTTCTGGGCATTCCTAAGTCTAACTGCCTTCACGGCATGGCAGCTGACACCTGGAAATTATGTTCAATACCTGTCCTCTAGGGTCTTGCTACTCAAAGTGCGGTCCATGGACCTGCAGTATTGCCATCACCCGGGAGCCTGCTAGAAATATAGATACTTGGGCCTACCCCAGAACTCCAGAATCAGAATCTGCGTTTTAACAAGCTCCCCGGGTGATCCGCAGTTTAAAAACTTAAACGTTGGCCTGCGCAGTGGCTCACTCCTGTAATCCCAGCACTTCAGCGGGAGGCCCAGGCGGAAGGATTGCCTGAGCTCAGGAGTTCGCTGCCAGCCTGGGCAACATGGTGAAACCCCGTCTCTACTAAAATACAAAACATCTAGCCGGGTGCAGTGCGCGCCTGTAGTCCCAGCTACTCAGTTGGCTGAGGCAGGACAATTGCTTGAACCCAGGAGGCGGAGGTTGTAGTGAGCCATGATCGCACCACTGCACTCCAGCCTGGGCAACAGAGCAAGACTCAGTCTCAAAAAAAAAAAAAAAAAGAAAAAAAAAAAAGAAAGTTAAACATTGAAGATTAAGGAGCACTTGTTCAGGGCATGATCTCCCCTCCCACAGATTGAATAATGTGTTAAAATCACCTAGGAGCTATTAAAAAAAAATAAAGATGCAATTTGTTAACATTTTTTCAAGTTACAAATATGTGCGCTCTTTGACTTGGAGGGCCGCTTTGAGGAATTTATTATATGATGCCCTCCAGCAGGTATGAAACTGCGTGCCTGCACAGACACTTGCTGCAGCAGGATCTGCAATAAGCCTGGAACCAAATAAATGGCCATTAATAGGAGACATGTACTTCATCCCTGTAATGGAATACTATGCAAAGAAAAATATGTTATCGTTATTTAGTTTCTTAAAAGGGGAGAAGAGGAGAGGGTTTTTTTTACTTGCATAAAAAGAATTTCGGGAGACACACAAAGACACACACACACACACACACACACACACACACACACACACACACAGACACATGCCCCAGTGACACTGGCTACCTGAGGGGCATAAGTGAGTAGGAACTGGGCAATTGGGAGACGGAGGTGGGAAGGAGACTTTTAAGAAAATCTTTTTATATCTTTAAAAAATTATTTAGCCATGGGCCAGGTGTGGTGGCTCCCGTCTATAATCCCAGGACTTTGGGAGGCTAAGGCAGGCAGATCACTTGAGGTCAGGAGTTCAAGATCAGTCTGGCCAATATTGCGAAACCGTATCTCTACTTTAAGGAATACAAAAATTAGCCAGGTGTGGTGGTGTGCGCCTGTAGTTCCAGTTACTTAGGAGGACCAGACTCTATCACACATGCTCATACACACACACACACGCACACACACAAATATTTAACCATGTAAGATACTTATCCATTTAAAATTGCATAAATGAATTTTAAAATGGAGATGTACCACCCCTAACCTGGACCTCAAGTGGAGCCCCAAAACTTATATTTTTAATGAGTGTCACTGGTCATTCCAGCCAGATTTGGAAATTCCAGTATAGGGTAGCCAGAGAATTTCTCCAAACCTGCTCTATGTTTGAGTTCCAGTTTCTGAATCCGAATCTTGGGTAGATTAGTCAATGTTGTGTTCTGAAGGCATTTATCAAATCACATTTATTGATTCGATTCCTGTCAGCTCTTTTGTTTTGGGTTTTGATCTATAGTAACAGACTTGTAGCTGGTAGAAGGGACCTGAAAATCCACCTGTTGTAGCACTTCATGGGGAAACTGAGCCTGGGAGAGGGCCTGTGGGTGGGAGAGCTCGAACCTGGGTTTTCTCACCCTGGGTCTATGTTCTTTTGGGAGCACTGTATCTTGAGAGAATCCATTCTTGGACTCCTGCAGTGTAAGGTCCAAAAATAGGAACTCATTCAGACGAAGCTCATGTTCTCCAAAGCAAAGGGGGGAAGTGCCCTGTGGTTCAGACATCCAGGGAAGCTTGATGGGCCGTCAGGATTCTCTGGATGGCCTTTGTGCTGGCATTAGACCACAGTCTACTGTACTTCGGCTGGCAAGCATGACATCCATGAGTCCTTGTTGAAGGAAAGGCTATGTTGAGTTTTCCTGGTCTTTTACTGATTGGCTCTGAGTTATATGCCCATCATGAAGCAGTTCCTTCGGGCTCTGTGATTTATTTAAAATTCATATTAATTTAGTCCCTCCCTTTGCCCCCTTGGAGAAGTTTTGACATTTGGATTTTGACATTTGGAAACTGAGCCTGGGAGAGGGCCTGAGAGGGTAGTGGGAATTGTAACTCATTGTAGAAATCACACTCATCCACATCCATAGGCACATACATCCACATCCACATCCACATCCACACCAAGTGTGAGTTGATGGCTAGCTAAAGCCAGGTGAAAATATGTGGAAAGGGGTTAGTAGGTACAGCCTTGGTTCCATGCCAGCATTAGGCACAGTCTCTACCTGGCAGTTGAATAATTTCAAAATCAGGTCTTTAACAGGTCAAAGACTAAACAAAACACTAAATAAAACAAGAGTGAAATAAAAACAAAACTACCAAAATGCAATGACAGAGTCAATTATCCAAATTGTTGAAAACTAAAAATAATTTATGTGAAACAATCAGTTAATTGAAGCCAGTTTTTCCATTTTATGCTTTGTGGGTTAGGCTTGGTGTTAATTAGGATTGGTTTCAACTATGAATGACATAAACTCCAAACTGACATTGGCCTACTTCAGACCAATTAGGATGACAACTATAAAAAAGAAAACAAACAGAAAATAAATGTTTGTTAGGATGTGGAGAAATTGTGGATTGTTGATGGGACTATAAAATGGTACAGCTATTATGGAAAACAGTAAGGCAGTTCCTCAAAGAATTAAAAAATAGAATTACCATGTGATGTAACAATTCCATTTCTGCGCATATACCCAAAAGAACTGAAAGAGGGTCTTGAAGAGATACTTGTACACCCATGTGCATAACAGCATTGTCCACAATAGCTAAAATGTAGAAGGGACTCAAGTGTACATTGACAAAGGAATAAACAGAATGTGGCATATACATAGAATGTTGTACACACTTAAAAAGGAAGGAAATTCTGACATATGCTAAAATATGATTGAAACTTGAAGACATTATGCTAAGTGAAATAAGCCAGTCACAAAAAGAAAAATATTGTATGATTCCACTCACATAAGGTGGTTGGACTTGTCAAACTCATATAGAAAGTACAATGGTGGTTACCAGGGCTGAGGAGGGAGAAAATGGGGAGTTAGTATTTCATGGGTACAGAGTCTCAGCTTTGCAAGATGAGGAGTTACAGAGATGGATGTTGGTGGTGATTTCACAAAATTATGAATGTATTTACTATCACAAACTGTATACTTAAAATGGTTAAGATGGTAAATTTTATGTTATGCATATTTTGCCACCTTTCCACCCCGAAAAAAAAACAGAAAAAGTGATATTGGCTTATCCAAAATGTTTCTCTCTTGTATAAGGAATGGATAAGCAGTTTAGTATGATGCTCTACAGTATTTGGGACACAAAAGGTTCTGTGTGGCCTTCAGCAAGGGAATATTCATGTTTCTGGCTGCAGGATGGAGGGAGGGATGGAAAATCAGAAGAAAAGAGCACACAGACACCATTGCTTACTAAAGGTATCTAAAAGCTGGCACGCAGACTTATGCTTCCATCCCATTGGTCAGGACTTAGTCACATGGCCACACCTGGCTGCAAGGTATGCTGGAAAATGTAGTCTCTCTTCTAGGCAGTCCTGCACCTGCCACACATCAAGGGCTCTAACTCCCGAAGAAGATGAGAATGGGTATTTGGGGATTACCTTACAGGCAACAAGGGGAGGGGTCATTTAGGAAGGAATCTTCTCTCTTCAGGGTTAAAATTCCCACAGAGGGAAACCTTCATTCCGACCAGAATGAATTTTGGAGTCTCTGCTTCCCTAATCCCTATCATTTTCTAGAAGTCCAGAAAGGAATCAACTAGAAGAAAAAAAAATACATCTGTTCCTAGTATCTGTTGCTTTCTTAATCTTGTGACTGTTTAAATTGGGGGAGTTTGTTGCTCTATCCAGACAATATAGTGTGGTTATCAAAGCAGTTTTTGGTGTCTAACTCAAGTGTCAGTCCTGACTCCACCCTTCTCTCAGTTTGGAGTCCACCAGAATCCAAGCCTAAGACAGGGAGTTGAGGGCAAGTAGCTTCTTTGGAACATGATCTCAGGGAGCATCAGTAGGGGAGTGAAGAGATGAGACAGGAAGGGAGGACAGCCAGTGCTGAGTGCATTAGCAAGCAAGTTTCCATCGCGGGCAACCGGAGCTCCACCTGCTGGGAATAGAACCTGCCTCAGTTATCCCAGCTGAGCAGAGAAGGAGCTGGGGTATTTATGTGCCAACTTGCCTCCTTCAGAGTTTGGGGGCTGCTCCCAGGGCCTGACTCCCTGGCATGTCCAGCCTGCCCCACCCACCTGCCCAGAGGAGGCCAGCACTGTGTGGGAGTGATGCTTCTGGGAGGAGGGGGAAGTGCTGGGAGCATCCGCCAGAGCTTCCTCATCTTTAACGCAGCACTAACAACGACTGCTTTCCTCTAGGGTGTTGTAAGGATTAAATGTCACAATCCAGAAAAATAGACTATGTTACGTGTGTCAGCAAATAAAATAGTATAGGAAATCCAAGTACGGTCAGGTTAATGGTGGTGTAGACTGTGCAGGGCAGTCTCCTGTCTCTGCCACTGCTGCACTTGGGTATAGATAGGCCAGAATATAATTCCCTTATCCTCGAGGTGGCTGGGAATAAGGCTGTAGGGGCTGTTTGGGCCTTCAGGCTGGGAGACTCCTATTCCACTAACTGCCCCGGTTACCCCATGCAGTGTGCAAAGTTACCACTTTCTGCACGCACCAAAATGTGAAAAGCATTGGGAGGCAGTCAGCTAGAAAATGCAGCATTCATTAGCTACTACTTTAAAATTAATACCCTCTCTTTAGAGAAGAGGGCATCGTACCCAGGTTGAATTTAATGCTGATTATGTGATCCACACATTATGAAGGCATGATAACCACCCATAGCTCACTTATGTGTCCAATTTGCAGGTATGAAAATGAGTGTGAATGTCAACTGCTGCTAAAAGAAATGCTTGAACGGCTTAACAAGGTGAGTGGAACACATCATTGGGCTTTTGTGGCTTCATTGCAGTGCTGAACCGAATGGTGGAAAGGCATGTTTCACATGCTTCTTCTTTATGTTACTTTAGCGGTCACTTCTTTTGCATTCGCTCTCTTTCCTGACTTCTTAATTTCAACTGTTTAGGTGTGTGAACTCTCACACCTAAACACACACCCCTCTCGCATGAGAGAAACACAGACTATGAAGCTCATTGGCTATGCTAGGCTGGCAAAAGCTGCCAGCATCACAATGACAAGCTGCTGTTTTCACCTGTCAGAGGTACTGATTCCCAACACCAAATTTAGGAAGGCTCTTGCTTTGGGCCGTGGTTATTTGGACACAGCGATATCTCTGTCCTGTTAGCTATGAGTGTTGAGATTGCTGCTCCACAGGAGAAGTCTCAAGAGAACAGAGGAAGAAATTTCAACTTTTTTTTAGAACTCTCATTTATACATGACCAAAAGCCCCAGGGGAGGTGCCAGGGGTTCTTAGCCACTTGACCTTCCTGCAGGGTTACGTGGAGTTGTTCTTTGCAGAACAGGAGTGATTTCCTTCTTGGGATTCTCCATTATCATTCTAACTAACTGATTGGATTTTCTGCTTTTGCCAGGAGACTCTCACCACCAAAAAGCAGAATGATTCTGGACCACCAGGGTTGGTCAGAACCAGGGATGGCAGATAGCTTTAAGCCTGGCCGTTTTCTGATCATTTCTGAGCTCAAATGTCAGAGCGGAATGACCCATGGAGACTATTTAGTGGAAGGGCTGCTTCATTAGGGCACATGGCTGCCCTTCCCTGCCCCTTCCATGCCTACAACTCATCAAAATTGCTGACAAAACCACAGACTCTTCCCTGTCATGCCTAGGTATGCTTTAGGCTTCTTTGCCACGTGGAACGCCAGGCAGCCACTTTGGACAGTCAGGGTTAGTGCCAGCTCTTTGCCATCCCTTCACTTTGGCCAGCCTTTGCTGTCTAGGATTACTCTGCTGATTGAGGGGAAAATCAGAAATAGAATTCTAGGGAAACCCAATTTTGCTTTGTCTATGTTACCTGCCCCTCTGCGTGTGAGCACGTATAATGTGTTCAAACCAGGACAGTGTGCAAAAGAGGGTGCTGTCCATAATTACACAGGTCAGTCAATGCAGACTGGGACTGTCTCAAGCCAGCTAGTGGGACACATGGGCACCCCAGGTAGAAACACAGAGATGGCAGTGAGAACGCGCTTCAGGAAAGATCTGAAGACACAGACTCAGTAGTGGGTGGAGAATAACAGCCTCAGCCTGTCCGACCTCTGAGCTGGGAGTTGGGCCTTGTTAATATCCGGCATCACCTTGCTGTTCTACTGACACCTGTAGCTCATCCCCATTCCTGTGTTGGGTGGCAACCTCGGGCTGCCAGTCACTCCGGCCCTCCCAGACCCTGTCCCCAACACTTCTACCTGGTGCTTTGTGAGCATCTGTCATCACTGCAGGCGGGGCTTTCTCTTCATTTGTCACTCACACAGTGTCATCCTGGGTACTCTTCAAAGAAAGGGGAGGAAGAAGGGGATTCCTCTTTTACCCTTGATGGAAAATGACAGTGAATTTAAAAAACAAGCTTCAACTTTCTCTTGTTTTCCTCCTTTTACAAAAGCAATATGTATTCTCAGTAGAAAAACTAAGGCAACATAACGAAAAATAAGGAAAAGGCATCACATAGTACACGTTCATATATATCGTGACGTAGAATGTGGACATTTGAAGTATCAGCTCCGTAAGAATATGATGAAGGTTCTGGGGGAAGATGCTACCAGGAACATGGGCATGGCCAGCACAGGGAATTGACATGACTGGCTCCTGGGTCCAGGTAAGACAGTACAGCTCACAGTGAGCTGCACAGCCCCAGAGAGGAGTGTAGCCTGGGATGAGGGACCCCAGCTACTGCTGAGCATCGGTGAGACTGTAGGCCAATTGCCTCGTCCCTCTGAGCCTCGGCTTCTTCCCTGTGAAATGGAACCACAATACTCCCCACCCACCACAGGAGTGAAAGTCAACCTGACTGGTGAGAACTAAATGATGTAATAATGTGGATGACTTGCCTGTCACCTGGTGGCGCTCAATCCCTGGTCACTATTGTTATTACAGAGCACTTGATGCGACAGACACGAGCTTGATTTTCTCCACAGTGTGGATGCAGAACCCTGGTGAAGTGAGAGGTGACTTTAGAAAGTGCATGGAGGGGCGATAGTTAATTGTTGTGAATTTTTTATGACTACCTGTTGTTTACAGCGGGTGACATAAAATGTTCCTTTCCAAGTAAATCTAGGTAAAAATGAGTATATTTAAAGAAAAAGACAGAGCAACTAAGATGCAGGTGGTCCTTGGCCGGTAGTAGAAATCATGAACACAGCAGGCAGATGCCGGGAGCTGGGGAGGGCCTTGCGCGGCCTCAGAACAGCCTGTGGTTATTGGTGGGGCAGGTTTTATCCTCAGAAATGACCTAGTCCGAATCCTTCTCTGGGCCAGTGAGGACATTCACCCTTGGGGAGGTTAAATGACTTCAGAGCCTTGCAGCTCAGCTGTGGTAAGTGTAAACAGGAGTTGGGGTCTTTTGTGTTTGTGGTTCATTCTTTACCTCCAAAGAGTAGTCAGGGAATCGGTGTCACTCAGAGGCCAGACACAAAGCCAGAGAGTTCTTAGCTACAGCTGGCCCCATGGACCTTGATATTGGTGTCCTGCCCACATACCCCGGGCCACCCCGATGGTCACTCAGACATGCTGAACATGCTGATCATTGCTTGCATCTCTTGGGCTCTGGGAACAGGCATGGCCCACATAAGGACAGTCCAGAAACACTGGGCATTAACACCCCAGGAACAACCCTCAGTTGCTGTGGACGGGTAGGTGGATAAGTTCCCCACCCCTCATAGTGATGGTTCAGAGCCGCGTTCCACATGGTCCCTCAGATGGTCCCCAGCAGGACTGAGCTGTCTACCATGGCAACCTGCTCATCACACTCCTTCACTGGTTTTGTTCTCTTCCTTGGCTCACTGCCCTCCCCTACCTGTGCTTTCTGGGATAACCTCCCAAATAAGCAATAGGTACCCAGTCTTTGCCTTGGGGTCCATTTCTGGAGAACCCAGATAGTCCTTCAAGGGCAGGGCCAGGTGAACACTGGACCCTTTTGTTCTGTGTCTGCTGAGATCATCAGACGACATGATAGAGGCTGAAATTCATATTGCGTCAGCTGGTCATGTGAGTGATTTTGGCCTCCAGATCTTTGAGCGTTTTCTTACATCAGATAACAGGTTTTAGCTCTCCACTCAGTCTCAGTGCCTGTTTCTGTTGGCCTCACTTGTGCAAAGGATTCATCCCTGGGTGCGGCCATGGGACATCACTGACCCAGTCTTTGCATCCTACTTGGAAGATGTCTCAGTGTATGTGAAAGGACTGATGGCCCCTGCTTTCACAAAACCACCATGCATATCTTCATGCTGCCTGTGTAATCAAGCCTACAGAAAGAGCTCCTGTAGTTTTATCAGCCAGATAACACTTGGAAGTGAAATAAACTCCTAAACACGTTACCTACAACCTATGGCCAAAGTTATTCAACTTCTCAGCCTTTTGATGTAGTAGGAATTGCAGATGACTTTAAAATATTAGGGTTTGCTAACTTCTAGAACTCACAGTCACCAAATACATACATATGAGGTTACTGGTCTGCTATGATGCCTGATTTGCTTATCTAGGAAACTGTAAGCAGCAGACTTTACAATCTCCCTCTCCTTTTTTCTTTAAAATCCCCAGAATTTTAAAATGATGTGACTTCTAGTCAAATGCTTTTGCTTAAAAACAAGATAAAAAATATTTAAAGGCTGACATATGTGCTTTTTCATGTAATTCATGTGTCTCTTAAAGGTGCCTGTGAAAAGCAGCAAGAGGCCAGGGAGTGCAGGGGAGTGCCGGCATGAAGCCCTATCTTCAGAGCTATGCCCTCATATGCCCAAAAATTCCTCTGAGCCCAGAAAGGAACATCCAGAGAAGAGAAGGAGAGGAAACTGGGAAGGAAGAGGAGGAGGCTGGGGTTGGAGAGGCAAGGGGAGCAGAGGAAGAGTCAGGATGAATGCAAAGGGAGAGAGAGCAGAGTTGGGGAAACTGAGGCAGAGGCAAGCGAGAGGGTGGGGAGATGTAGAACTTGCCCAGTGCCCCCCTTCAGGCCAGCATCAGCACCTGGAAGAACAACCTGAACAGTTTTGGAAGGGTTTTTGGCATCTAGCATTGGAGGACACATGCTTTTAATTAAATACCAGATAACTAGAAATCTTAATGAACTTTAATACCCATTCTTTAGCAGTTGGGCTTTTGATGGAGTTCTAGGATCCCTGTGAATAGGTCAGCAAGGCTGTATTTTTTTCTCCCTTTTTAATCTCAGCCATTTGAGTTAAAAGGGCTGATTTTTCTATAAAGCTCCAAATTGTAGTTATTTCTCCAGCTCCTTTCTAAAAACATGGCTGTAAATAGTCTAGATTAGTGGTTCTAAAACTTCAGTGTGTATCAGTGTTACCTGGGGTGAGGTGAGGGCACATTAAAACTCCTGGGCCCCAGCCCTAGAAATTCTAAGTCTGGCATCTGCTGGAGTATTTGCTTTTCTGATCCGTTCCCAGGTGTTGTGATCCAGGGACCACACTTTGAGAACCACTGGTCTAGATTTAGGACATAGGCAATATCAGGGTGGGAATGTTTTGTAAAATTAGACTATTGACCCATAATCTCAATTCAGAAAAATCTAGATGATTCTGCTGGTGAAGCTTTTGAAAATTCCGCTGACAACATCCACAGCATAATAAAAACACAAGCGTCTACACATTTCTGAGTTCTGGCGCAAACAAAAGAAAACACTTCCAAAACAAATTTTCCTAAATGTATCAGCAGCTGTGCATTCCAGTGGCCCCTACTCACCTTTAGGGGTTTGGGGTCAGCTTATCAGGTGATTATCTTCAAAGCAGGACAGTGTGCTTGCAAAAAAATCTGCATAATCCCTACGTTAAGGATAAATACTGACTGGCCTTTTATTATCACTATATGAGCAGTTTTAAATATTTAACTGATGGGACCCAGTGCTGGTGGTTTTGGAGTGATCTAAGAGGGAGGTGGGGAAGAATGACAGGCACCTTGAAGGATGGAGTCAGGGCTCAGCACTCAGCTCTTGGCTAGTAGAGAGAAGCCCATGGCAGCTTCCAGCCCCGTTGTCTTCCACCAACTTCCATTCACGAGCTCAGTGACGCACTGCATCAGTCTGGCCTCAGCCCTGCATCTATGGAGGGAGGCTCTGGACCTCAAGGTGCATTTGACAGAGCCCTTACATTGCAATGGAGTTGCTTCCCTCTGAGGGAAGAGGGCAGCCGGGCACGGAGGCCTCTTCGCTTTGCTTCAATGCACTGGCTTCCATGGATTGCTTTGTTCAAAGGATGGCACATGTGGCTTAACAAACATAAGAGTACCAGTGACCCCTAGGGTCCACTCTATTTCTAAAATTTGGAATGTTTGATTTCTTATAAATAATCACACAAAGGGTTTTTGAAGCCCTATTTCCAGTCCTTCAGCTTCGTGGCTCAATCATGGCTGCATTTTGGTAAGAATGATTGAGAATTCTGTGTCCCACCCCATCCTCAGCAGTTTTTAAATTAATTTAATTTTTTTATTTTTCCCTTTCTGAAAGGTCAGAACCTCAGCAGTCTTAAAAGGGGCAGGAGGGAAGACAGAACATCCACCCAATACCCCTGCACCTCGGGCCCAGATTTAGCCAGGCCTCTCTGAGAGTATGGTTCCACCCCTGGGGCTGAGAGTCGCTCCACAGGGAACCACTGCCTCCTGGAAGGCATAGGGATGCATCCCCAACACTGTGAGTTTCCTTCCCATCACGTGGTCCAGCTGTCAGGCAAGACGGTGGTCATGTGGCCCGTGCTGGCCAATCACAGCTCTCCTGGGGGAGGGATGCAGGGATGAACTGATTCAGAGCTGGGTCACTCTGAGGACAAAGTGTCTCCTGCTACGTAGATCCCTGGGACTGCCCTGGTTTCCGTTTTTCCCGAGGTTTGGCAGGTTTTTTGTATTTTACAAATTACCCAGGGTCTTTCTGGTTCCTCCACCCTTTTCTGTTGCTGGAAAGATTCAGGCTTCCCTTTCCACAATTTCTCTAATGAAAGGGCTTCACCAGGCTTGTGAAATACTTCTGGGTAATTCAAAAGGCCAGGCACCAGGATATCCAAGGGGGCTCACTTCCCCTGGGCTAGGAACACCTGGATTTGCAGTAGTGCATCAGTCTGGGACTGATGGCCCCGGGCTGGGCAGCACACGCCTTTTGGAAGAAGAAACCCTACAGCTGAGTTTTCCTTAGACCCTTCCTCACTATCCTTGGGTCAGAGGATGTGAGGACCCATCATTAAGGGCCCAGAATGGTAAACCCCTGAAGGCAGGGCTTGTTAAAGGTCAATGGCTAATTAATTAAACACATGAATGAACTCAGAAGCTAAGTCCCATAGTTGGATTTCATATTCTTGTAGTTTGAACAGTTCAGTATCCTGGATCTGGAAAAATGTGTCCCTTTTTGTAATTTGGTACATTCTTTTATTTCTGATTTAAAACAAAAAAACTTAAAAAACTTCAGACCATACGTAGATTTATTGAAGGGAGCGAATTTCCCACGAGCTCTTGCCTCTCCCAGTCGACAGCGGTGCTGGTGGCAGCAGGGGCCCGGTGCCAGGGCCAGGAATCAGGAGGAGGGACGTGGAGAGAGCAGGTAGGAGAGTCCAGGGGCCGGGATGAGGAAGTACTTTGGACACTGGTGTCCTTCCCCTTCTGTCGAGGGATTCCTTACCTGGGGATGCACCCTGGAGCAGAAACCTGGAGAAGCACTGAGGAGGAACAAGATCTTCCATTGCTGAAAATTGCTCCCATAGAGCAGTGCCATGCAGCATGGCAGCCACCAGCCACACGTGGCTGTGGAGCACCTGCAATGTGGGGAGTTTGAATTGAGATGTGTTATGAGTGTACAATACACAGCAGTTTCAAAGACCTCATCTGAAAACAAGAATGGAAGATATCTCACTATTAATTTATTGATTACATGACAACGTAATATTTTGGGTATACTGGGCAAAATAAAATATATTATTAAAATTAATTTCACCTGTTTCTTTTTATTTTATTTACTCTGGCTACTTCTAGAAAATTTTAAATTGGCCTGGCGCAGTGACTCACATCTGTAATCCCAGCACTTTGGGAGGCTGAGGTGGTTGGATTACCTGAGGTCAGGAGTTCAAAACCAGCTTGGCCAACATGATGAAACTGTGTCTCTACTAAAAATACAAATGGCCAGGCATGGAGGCTCACACCTATAATCATTAACTAAGCGTGGTGGTGCGTGCCTGTAGTCCAAGCTACTTGGAAGGCTGAGGCAGGAGGAAGCTCAGAAAGAAATGTTTTAAGTTACATTCCTAAGGGTTGCAGACTGACTAATTTGATCTAGTACAACTCTTAAGTTCTGTAAGATAAAGTCTTCTGTTCTCTTGGGTAGATAAAAGATCTTCAGAAGTTTGAGTTGGATGAGGGTTGGCCACTCCCCTACAATCTTGCTGATGCTTCAGAACAAATTCACAGAGAGAGATTTGTTAAATATTAATGTTTATTGTGATACAGGCACCCGAGGTCCATAAAACCTGCTCTGTAGGCTCCTTGAAGTCTCAACTCTGGTGTCGTAGGTGCTAAGAGAACACTTTGCATGGAAAGCTCATTCAAGGCAGAGGCTACAATGGAGTCAGAATTTCAGAATCTTCATTGCAGCATCAGACAATCAGAAATCTTGCTACACCAGTGGTCTTTCACAAGAGCAGTTAAGGAACCAAGTGCCTTGTGTGTGTGTGTGTGTGTGTGTGTGTGTGTGTGTGTGTGTGTGACAGAGTTTTACTCTTGTTACCCAGGCTGGAGTGCAGTAGCACAATTTTGGCTCACTGCAACCTTCGCCTCCCAGGTTCAAGTGATTCTCCTGTCTCAGCCTCCTGAGTAGCTGGGATTACAGGCATGTGCCACCACACTCAGCTAATTTTGTATTTTTAGTAGAGATGGGGTTTCTCCATGTGGGTCAGGCTGGTCTCCCGACTTCAGGTGATCCGCCCACCTTACCCTCCCAAAGTGTTGGGATTACAGGTGTGAGCCACCGCGCCTGGCCCCAAGTGCCTTTCTTTTTTCTTTTTTTTTTTTTGAGACAGAGTCTTGCTCTGTTGCCAGGCTGGAGTGCAGTGGCACAATCTTGGCTCACTGCAACCTCCGCCTCCTGGGTTCAAGCGATTCTTCTGCCTCAGCCTCTCAAGTAGCTGGAACCACAGGCATGTGCCACCACACCTGGCTAACTTTTGTATTTTTAGTAGAGACGGGGTTTCACCATGTTGGCCAGGATCGTCTCGATCTCTTGACCTCGTGATCCGCCAGCCTCGGCCTCCCAAAGTGCTGGGATTACAGGCGTGAGCCACTGCGCCTGGCCCCAAATGCCTTTCTTAAGAGTATAGTCTCAAGGCCTTGCAAGAACCGAAACCCTAGTAGCTCAGGGTGGGGAGTGTCTCTGCATCTCATGGCCAGTCCACATATCGTGACTGTCATAACTCTGTTCATCCGAGTGTGGGGAGTGTCTCTCACATGTTTTAGCCAAGCTACATGTCCACCTTGATTAATGAGAGCCCATTGCTAATATTCATTATGTTTATTAGCAAGTCACTAATGAGTCAGTAAAAATACACTTCCCAAGGCCTCAGGTGTTGGCAGGTGTGCATGGCAGAGGTACCTTGGGAGAATGGGGAATCCCGATGAACCCAAGTAATGCTCACCTGTAATATCACAGTGAAGGTGCCGAAGTATAGCGGTCACTTCAGGGCACTGTAGCACAATCTCGTTAAGAGCATGAACAATTCTTTCATACCTATTTGGTGTATTCAAACAAGATCAGTGAGGTGAGAGCCAATGAATTATTAGAAAGTTTCCTGAGAAAATTCAGCCTTTTGTGATAAATGTAATTTCCATCCTTAGAGGAACAAACAAATCCTATTCACAAAACAGTCATTTCTAAAAATGCATGTTTGTATTAAAGATCCTCTTGCATCCTCTCAAGGTAAATGTTAACAGTCCTTGGGAGAAAACTATTAGAATACAGATTTCAGGATTTAAGGGAAAACGATTTCTTTCTTTCAGTCTTAGAAACCCAACTCACTGATGATGAACTATAGAACAAATATAGAGTTTACTTAAATATTAAGGTTATTTGGTATGCAAATACACCCTGGCACTCCGATCTTTCTAGATCAAGGTTACTTATGCCTGGCCTTGTTGACACTTTAGGCAGGAGGATTCCTCATGTGCAGGGTTGTGGGGGGCTGCTGTCCTGTGTATTATAGGGTATTTAGCAGCATCCCTGGTCTCTATCCAGTAGTTGCCAGTGGAAGGACCCCACCACTCAAGTGGTGATGGTTAAAAATGTCTTTAGACACTGCCAAATGTCCCCTTGGGGGCAAAATCACCCTCTGTTGGGAATTGCTGTTCTAGAACAGGTCCAATGGGCTAAACCATTGCTTTGCTAAAATGCATCATCTCGGAGCCGTCCCAGACCTGCTGAAGCAGAGTCTGCATTTCACTAAGCCCCCAGGTGGTCTGTGTGCTCATATACTCGCCAGCTTTACCCCTATGCTTCCTGGTGCCTGTGGCCAGGGATGTGTGGCTCTCATTGCAGGAAGCTGATGAAGCCTTGCTGTATAACCTGCGCCTTCAGCTGGAAGCCCAGTTTCTGCAAGATGATATCAGTGCGGCAAAGGACAGGCACAAGAAGGTAACCATGACCCCTTGAAGCCCTTCCTCTAGAAAACCCAGTTTGGGTTTGGTCAGGTAAGCCCAGGGCATTGTGGCTGAAAACGGAGACCACGAGGGTGGCCTACCTTTGTGCATTTTCCCTTGAACCAAATTTTCCTTGAACCAAATAGGGATGAATTGGTCGCTGGACAGGGCTTGATGAACCGGCCGTGCTTTGAAGAGTGGGCAGTAGTGGGTGTGTTTTGAAGGCTGTGGTGTTGGGAACTAGTATCTATATTGTACAGTATAATTTACAAAGTGATTTCATATAGATCTGTTTTCATTAAACTGCAATCCATCAACTATTTCCACGCAGAAAATACATTAAAAAGTCTGTTTTTCGCTCTTGCCTCTGAGCCGGTTAATTTCAGGAGCACATTTTTCAGGAGCTTCCTTTTCTGCAGTGCTCAGACTCCCTCCCCCAGCCTCCAGCAGTTCCTCACAGGCCTGACTCTGGGGGGCCCTGGCATAATTGAAAGATCAGATCCTGCAGCTGTTTGACCATGGGTGAGTGGCCTAACCTCTCTGAGCTGCTTTTTCACCTTCAAAATGTAAATGCAGACTCTCCTTCCCAGCAGTCGTGTGGGTGATCTAGTGGAGAAGATCCTTGGGGGCCTCAGGACTTTCCTCTCCAGGAGCTCCGTCTGGCCTCCTCCCACTGCCATCCCTGCAGCTTTGCCTGAGGACTCCTCCAAGCAGCTGGAGGCTGCTCCGCCTGCAGGCGGGGTACTGGGGAATTCCTGTCACTGGGAGCAGGGAGCACTCTCAGCTGGAACTGATGGGAGTTGGTATATAAACACCCCAGCTCCCTCTCGCCTTTGTAGAACAACTCTGAGGCTTTTGTTCTGCACTGGCACCCAAAGATCCTCACCAGGATTGAGTTCCAGATGCCCACAGTAGCGACCCTTTGGTAACAGCCCTCGCTGACTGCCGCCCCTTCCTGCCTGTCTTTCCCACTCCACCCATTATGTTTCCTGACATCATTACCCAGTCAACTGTTTGCACTCAGATCCCTCTTCCAGGGTCTGCTTCTGGGGAAACCCAAATTAAGACAATGTGGGAACACAGGTAAGCACTCAGTGAACCTCCAATTCCCTTCTTACCTCAGTGTGTACCTGTGTCAGTACACCAGGCCTGTCTGCTCCCATCAGGGTCCCTCCAGCTTTCCATCAGGTCCAGCCATTTCTCCTCCCCACCTAACTTCTTGTTTCTGCTCTACTTGATGGAATCCTGGGAGCAGTGCCTGGGAGCAGTTTTGAAGCCACTCAAAGAATTCTTCCAGGCCGTTTAGGATGATGATATGATGATGATGGTGATGGTGATGATGATGGTGAGGATGATGGTGAGGATGATGGTGATGATGATGGTGAGGATGATGATGGTGATGATGACGGTGAGGATGAGGGTGATGATGGTGAGGATGATGGTGGGGATAATGATGATGGTGGTGAGGATGATGGTGATGGTGAGGATGATGGTGATGGTGATGATGATGGTGAGGATGGTGAGGATGATGATAATGATGGTGAGGATGATGGTCAGGATGATGATAATGATGGTGAGGATGATGGTGAGGATGATGATGGTGGTGAGGATAATGGTGATGTGAGGATGATGGTGATGGTGATGGTGATGGTGATGATGATGGTGAGGATGATGGTAGGGATGATGGTAGGGATGATGGTTAGGATGATGGTGATGGTGATGATGATGGTGAGGATGATGGTGAGATGATAATGATGGTGGTGAGGGTGATGGGGATGGTGAGGATAATGGTGAGGATGATGATGGTGATGATGATGACAGTGATGATGATGGTGACGATGACAGTGAGGATGACGGCTCACACTGGGAGGCCCCCTGAAGTATCTCAGCAGATCCCAAGAGCAGCCTTGTGAAATAGTGCTCAGGTCAGGCTCCCTATAAGGAGAGCTCCAGGCAGTGATTTTTTGTCATTGATGTCTTAGTGGAGGGCTCTGAGGAGAAGGGTAGGAAAGGGGCAGGGCAGGGCAGGGAGCAGAGCAAGGACATGTCTTCAGTTGGAGTCCAGCTGTGGCTTTCTCACAATCCCATGGGAAGCTCTGGAGTGTGAATGTGAATTACACCACAAGGAGTCAAGAGAGTTGGTCTTTTGTACTCCCGTGCTGTAAGTAATTGGCCTGGGTTGGGGATGAGGCATGGCCACTGGGAGGAGGGAGTCTACTGCCATCCTGCAGGTTTAGAATTTGCCTGGTAGCTTTCTGGACACGATGACCATTTGTTGGCCAAGGGCTGTTTTCTGGAGAGTGCTGTGTCATCTGTCATTACTCACAGAGCTGGGGACAGGGTCACTGGCTGGTAAAGGGGGTCAGGCCTCCCTACAGATAGTTATCCCTGTTTTATAGAAGACCTTGCGTTTTGGGGGAGGTTTAAATAGCTTGCCTGAGGGCATACATAGTAAGTCTTTTAGTCCAGGCCTGATTGACCAAAGCCCCTTCTTTGAAATACTACTGGTGTTGGAAAGAGTCCTTTGTGCCCTCCAGGGCCTCTTAATTAATTTATCTTTGACATGGGGTCTCATTCTATCAGTCAGGCTGGAGTACAGTGGTGTGATCACAGCTCGCTGCACCTTCCACCCACCCCTGGGCTCAAGTGATCCTTCTACCTCAGCCTCCTAAGTAGCTGGGACCACAGGTGCACACTACAACACATAGTTATTTTTTAAAAATTTTTGTAGAAATGGGGTCCCACTATGTTGGCTAGGCTGATCTCCAACTCCTGGGCTCAAGTCATCCGCCCACCTTGGCCTCCCAAGGTGCTGGGATTACAGGTGTGAGCCACCATGTCTGGTGAGGAGATTTTTTTTCTTTTCTTCTTTTTTTTTTTTTTTTTGTCCCTCTGCCACCATGGGCTCTGTGAAGACAGCAGCAAAGCACCCATGTAACTGAAGAGAAATGGTGAAATAAAGCAGGCCTTAGCTTATTCATCTGCCCTGTTGTTCTTGTGAAGATTAAAGGAGACGTGAAGTGCCCTCTACATGGTGGGCCCATGTGGGCAGGCAGGCCCACCATGGCAGCACACGCGTCACTCTCTTCTACTTCCTGAACCTGGTCGTGGTCTGTCCTGTCTGTGAAGGTGGAGTGTGTGGAAGTGTCCATTCTTGTGCTCATCTAGTACTAGAAGGAAAAACGGCACAGCTCAACTTACAATGAGAATGCTTTCCCTCCCCTACAGAATCTTCTGGAAGTTCAGACCTATATCAGCATCCTACAGCAGATCATCCACACTGTTCCTCCAGCATCCATCGTGACGAGCGGGATGAGGGAGGTAAGAATTGGAACCCAAAAAGGCCAACCAGCCCTGGAGAAGCTGTATCTGGAGACTCCCAGGGGAGGGCTCACAGGTTGGACTGTGAGGGCAGCCACCGGGGGTTCCACTCCCCACTCCTGCCTTGTATCCTCATCTGAAGTTTGTTCTTCTGATCTTTTACTCATACTGTAAATGCCAATGTTTAGACATGTGAGGACTTAAACTGTGTCCTTGACCATTTTCTTTGGTGTTTTCTCTTGAGAATTAGGAGCTGTTCTTTCTCGCATACTTTATAAGAAATGACCAACCTGCTTTCCAAAGCGGTGCGCCATTGTTGCACCTCCACCCGCAATGCAATGCGTGAGGGTTTCTGTGGCTCCCTGTCCTTGCCAGCACTTGGTATGTCAGCTTTTTAGTGTGTCTTTGCTCTTGTGACAGTGGTGGTTTTAATTTGCATCCCCTATTATCCTTTTGTGCCCTCATCTGCCATCCCCATAGCTTCTTTGTGGAAATAGCCGCTCAGGTCTCTGTCCCATTTAAAAAATTGGTTTGTTTCCTTGTTCTCCCTATCAATCTGATAATGAATTTCAAATGCAGAGAATCTCAGATAATTAGTGAAAATATTTTCAAGGCAGAGCTCTGCTAATGATCAGGGGAGCCTGTGGCATGGAAACTAGTGGAAAAGGATGGAGCCTTTTGAAGCCAGTTTGTAAAAACTAAAGATTTGGATATGAAACATTATTTCTGATATGATGTTCCAGATTCCTTCTTCATTTAGTTCTCTGCTCAACAGGATCATAACTTTTTTTCCTAATATGGCTTATGGAATTTCGTGGTGTACAGCATGATATATATTTATATCAGTATATACTGATGCTGAGTGAGGTGGCTCATGCCTGTAATCCCAACTACTCAGGAGGCTGAGGTGGGAGGATCACTGGAGGCTAAAGGCTCAAGGCCAGCCTGGACAACATAGCAAGACCCCATCTCCGAACAAACAAACAAAAAACAAAAACACCACAAACACTGGGAATGATGCAAATTAAAATAAAAATGTTACAGTGTCCCTTCTCCAGAGGTTTTGGTAGGCTAGTACTGTGTTTGGTGGATTGGTCAAGAAATAAGGTTCTGGGTCTTTTTGCAAGGATGACCTAGGATGGTGGCTCTCAACCCTGGTGATACCTGCAATTGCCTAGATGTATGCTCAGGCCATGCTCTGAGTCAGTGAATGGGCTTCCTGGGAGGTGGGGCCTCCCCAGCAGCAGCGTGCAGGGAAGCTGCTGCAGAACTCATGGGCTGGGGTCACTGGCTGTCTGAACTTTTTTATCTTAATTGTTTTACACAGAGCTAAAGAAATCCCCAAATTTACTTTAGGAGACACTTTTTTTTTTCTTTGAGACGGAGTCTTGCTCTGTCGCCAGGCTGGAGTGCAGTGGCACAATCTCGGCTCACTGCAACCTCCACCTCCTGGGTTCAAGTGATTCTTCTGCTTCAGCCTCCCAAGTAGCTGGGACCACAGGCGCGTGCCACCACGCCTGGCTAATTTTTGTATTTTTAGTAGAGATGGGGTTTCACCATGTTGGCCAGGATGGTCTCGATCTCTTGACCTCGTGATCTGCCCGCCTTGGCCTTCCAAAGTGCTGGGATTACAGGTGTGAGCCACCGCACCCAGCCAGGAGACACTTTTGAACCCTGCAATGTATCATCTAAGAGACAGGAAAGTTATTTACTTATTTATTTTTTGCATTCATGAGGGTATTCTTGTCCGAATTGTCTACCAATTACCATTTCGGGATCCTGTTCTCCTTAGTGGATGTAACCGAGGTTGCTACAAAGGCCTAAAAAAGCTTTTCCTGAAGCTTTAATTTTCTTTGCCAGAGATCCGTCTCCAGAGACATTATTTTTATTTTTCAAACCCACTTTTGTCCTGTATCTCAAAGGTGTTTTACATCCTAGCATACCTTTTGAATTGGCTCATCTATTCCCTTGTAACAAGATCCTTCTAAGTCATTAAGTAGACTTAGAAGGCGGGGGGGGGGGGGAGAGAGAGAGAGAGAGAGAGAGAGAGAGAGAGAGAGAGAGAGAGAGAAGGGGGAGGGAGACAGAAAGAGATGGAGAGAAATGTATGCCTCCTTGCTCTGAGAAACACAGGAGGTGCCAGAGACCATGGAGGAGGCCCCTGCAGTGTGTCCTGAGTTCCACCTTCTCCACGTGGTCGGGGCAGAGACTGACCCATGCTTCCTGCGTGTTTGTCTTGCCCCCGCTTCCTGTGTGTCTGCGTCGTTGCTGCAGCCACTTTGTAAGGTGTTTGAAGCAGAGGCCACCTTCCATTCATGAGCTTGGACACAGGAACCCTTGGTGTAGACTTGGTGTTTGATTTTGTGGGCTTCGAGTCAATGTGCTCTGTGTCAGAACTCACAGCTCTCGAGCAGTCAGGCCTTTGTGAAACAATCTGAGTATTTTTGAATAGACTTGGAAAGGCAGGTCAGGAGACAGGCACCTGCTTGGCAGGGTGTGGAGAGGTCGGAGGATTTCCTTCCAGCCATTCTCCAGAGTGTTGCTTCCCTTTCACCCACTGGGGCTGGTGACTCCTGCTTTGTGCTGCGCTGATGTCTGAGCACAGCACGTGGCCATCGGCTCTGAGTGACCTTTATCTTCTTAGACACAGCAAATAGAGCTGAATGGGAGTGTGCATTCTAGGTTTTCCTTTTCACAGAAGGAAAAACAGAGGGTTTGAGAGTGAAATGCCTTTTTTAGAGTCTCTTAGCAGGTTCGTGGCATTGCCAGGTCTCCTGGTACTTGATCCCAGCGTTTTACACTCCCAAGGAGGCTCACACTTTGAAGACAAAGCAAAAGGCATTGATGGCTGTGCTGTGGGCCTGGCTTAGTCTTCTCAGGCTGTTATAGATGGGGGCCGACAGGCAGACATTTACTTCTTACTGTCCTGGGTGCTGGAAGTCCAGTATCAAGGTGCTGGTAGAATCAGTGTCTGGTGAGGGCTCTCTTTCTAGCTTGAAGACGGCTACCTTCTTGCTGTGTCTCACGTGACAGACACACAGGGAGTGGAGGTGGGGGCGCTAGTGTCTCTTCTTATTCTTACAAAGACACCAATCCATTAATCACATCATGAGGCCCCCATCCTCATGACCTCATCTAACCCTCATACCTTCCAAAGGTCCCACCTCCTAAAACACAGAATTCAGGGGCTTCAACACAGAATTCAGGGGACACGGACATGCCATCCACACCAGGGCCCCATACTGTCTCTGCCCTTTTCCTCTCTGACTATCCCGTGAGTCTGACTCTGGCCTTCTCTGTGTAGGAAAAGTTCCTGACGGAGCGGGAGGTGGCTGCCCTGCGGAGTCAGCTGGAAGAGGGCCGGGAAGTGCTCTCCCACCTGCAGGCGCAGAGAGTGGAACTGCAGGCCCAGGTACGCTCGAGGCTGCCCCATGTGCATTGGGGCTTCCCACATGTTTTATGGAGGCGTTACACTCAGGCACACGCACGCAGCTTGAGGAGCTGTCACATGCTGAACATATCCTGTGCTTGGAACATATCGGGGCGTTCTGAGTGGGTGACCAAGTGCCCTGCTCTGCCCTGGATTGAGGGGTTTTCCAGGACACAGGACTTGTACCCCGTAACCTGGGAGGGTCCTGAGCCAGTGGGCACAGGTGCCACACTCATTCCTAGCCCCTCAGAGGTGCCCCTCGGGACGCCTTTGAATCATGCCTTCCCCACGGAGGCTTCCGCTCTCCTAGTGTCTACCTCATGCAGTCATTTTGCACAGGTGAAGCTTGGTAAGAATAAGAAGAAATGGACATTTATTTTTTATCCTCTACTTGTTCAAATCTGCGCTTCTGTCTTTCTTCTCATGATAACGTTTCTCCTTTGGAATTTGATTACAACCCGGAAAGAGCGGTTGTGTCAGTGTTTGCCTCTAGTTAGAAACGTGTTGGTGGAAAGCTCACATTTCTACCGCTCCCCACCTAGTGGGGGAAGCTTAATTTGAAAACAGAACAGAAAAGCCCCACGCTGTCCTGTGGCCTGACTTCTTGGCGACTCCCTGGCTCATCTTCCCTGGTTCCTTCCAGTTCTCTCTCTCTCTCTCTCTCTCTCTCTCTCTCTCTCTCTCTCATTACCTACAGCAGGTCATTCCGTGGGGACAGTTGGGTTAAAATACAGCACCTTTGTACGGCTCTCTAGCCACATTTCCCAAACCAAAAAGGAAGTTGACATTTGGTCTGACAAGGACACGTGGGGACAGGAGAACCAAATGTGTCAGAGCCGCACTCGAGAAAGCCCGGCCATCCGGACGTTATGCGTTACTCTGTCTCTGTCCTGCCAGGGCCCACCAAATGGGAAAAAATGTGAAGCCACACCCAGATGTGGCGCTTTTTACTGCGTTCCAGTGCCCTCCACGGCTGCTGAGGATCTCATTTGGGGACCTTGGAGTTCACATCCTAATTCCCGCCCCCAGCGTGCGCCGCACAAAACTCACAGTGCGGTAGCCCTCAGGGGTTAAAGGAAAGCAAACCCGGGTCTGTGGTGGTCCCTTGGGCTGACGATCGCAGCAGGAGAAACCAAGTAACGCCCTTCGCACTCCTTCTCTCGAGACAAACCCTGGCTCAGGGACCACATGCCTCACCCAGGTGACTTGGGCACGTGTGGTTTCTTCTGAGACTCTGACAGAACAGAAGGAGGGCTGGACGTATTTGTGTACATATGTGCTCTGTGTGTGTGTGTGATATGTGTATGTGTGATATATGTGGGATGCATATGTGAAGTGAGTGGTGTGTGTGTGTTTGTGTGTCGGGTGTATGTGTGTGTGTGCTGTGTATGTGACTAGGGAAGTGGATACAAGCCCAGTCATGGTTCTAGACACCAGTGTTTTCCAAACAGCTAGTGACAACTTGTCTTTGGATGTAAAATGAACTCAGTAGAATTGATTGGCATGGAAAAGGAAGTCAACGAAATACCAGACTAAAATATAAGAAATAACAGCCGGGCGCGGTGGCTCACACCTGTAATCCCAGCACTTTGGGAGGCCGAGGCAGGCAGATCACCTGAGCTCAGGAGTTTGACACCTGCCTGGGCAACACAGTGAAACACTGTCTCCACTAAAAATACAAAGAGGTAGCTGGGCGTGGCGGTGAGCATCTGTAGTCCCAGCTACTTGAGAGGCTGAGGCAGGAGAATTGCTTGAACCTGGGAGGCAGAGGTTGCAGTGAACTGAGATCATGCCACTGCACTCCAGCCTGGGCAATAGAGTGAGACTCTGGCTCAAGAAAAGAAAGAAAGAGCCGGGCGCGGTGGCTCAAGCCTGTAATCCTAGCACTTTGGGAGGCCGAGACGGGTGGATTACGAGGTCAAGAGATTGAGACCATCCCGGTCAACATAGTGAAACCCCGTCTCTACTAAAAATACAAAAAATTAGCTGGGCATGGTGGCACGTGCCTGTAATCCCAGCTACTCAGGAGGCTGAGGCAGGAGAATTGCCTGAACCCAGGAGGCGGAGGTTGCAGTGAGCCGAGATCGCACCATTGCACTCCAGCCTGGGTAACAAGAGCAAAACTCTGTCTCAAAAAAAAAAAAAAAAAAAAAAAAAAAAAAAAAAGAAAGAAAGAAAGAACAGTGTATACAGCAAGCAAAAGAGAGGATTTGTTTTGTGAAGCCCTTGTTTTATCTCTCTATATCCATATGGATTTGTTGAAGTACACACACACACACACATTTATCTGCTGTGTAATGACGTGCAATGAGACATGTGGCATTTCCTGGGGCGGTGGTGATAAAGTTCAAAACCACTGCCCTAGATACTGAGAAAGAAGATGGAGCCCAGTCTAGATGGCAAATTCCAGTTCCGGGACAAAAAGAATGTTCCTCTCTATATATACATGTATGTATTTGTTGAATATAAAAATAAGAAATTTCACAGGAGATGAACCTAGTTTCTGAGAGCAAGAAACGGAATGCTGGTTGGTTGCGTGTTCCTGTCCTTAGTGGCTGCAGGAGGCCTTGCTGGCTTTTCTCGGCTGCCCTCATCTCTAAAGCAGGGTCAAGCGTCTCTTCTGTGCCACCTCCTCCACTGCCACCCTTGGCAGTCTGATGGAGACCCCTTCTCAGAAAAATGATGGTGAAGGCATAAAACAAAGTACAGATAATTTAAAGGAAACCAGGCTGGGTACGGTGGCTCATGCCTGTAATCCTAGCACTTTGGAAGGCCAAGGTGAGTGAGTTGCTTGAGTCCAGGAATTCAAGACCAGCCTGGGCCTCCTGACAATCCCATCTCTACAAAAAAACACAAAAATTAGCTGGGTGCAGAGGTTCACGCCTGTGGTTCCAGCTACTCAGGAGGCTGAGGTGGGAGGACTGCCTGAGCCTGGGGAGGTCAAGGCTGCAGTGAGCTGAGATTGAGCCACTGCACTCCAGCCTGGGCAATGGAGTGAGACGCTGTCTCCAAAAAAAAGGGGAGTGGGAAGAACTAATATTAAAACAATTATCAAAATATTACTGAATCATTTCATGTAAAATGACAGATGTGCTTATACTCGGTAGCAAGCAGTAGCGTGGGGCTGATGAAACACATCTGGGTCCATTTTCTGTTGCTGCCTTGGTGAGTCACCACCAGCAGGGGCTTCAACAGTGCGCCTTTATCATCGCAGTTGCTAGATAAGAAAGTCTGGACGGGTTCCATTGATTTCTCTGCTCTGGGTCTCAGAAGATAGAAAGAAGGATGCTGGCCAGTCTGGGCCCTTGTCTGGAGGTTCTTGGGGGAGAATTTGCTTCCAGTCTCATTCAAGTTCTTGGCGGGGGTGAGGACCCTGTTTCTTTGCCGGCTGCTGGCCAGGAGCGGCTGTCAGGGCCGCCCGTGCTCCTTGGCTTCAGGCCCCTCCACATTCAGAGCGCGAAGCCTGCCCCGAACCCTCTTCCTGCCATCTCATTGACTTTGACTTACGCGTTTTTCTGACTTCTGTGTTTAGGGCTCCTGTGATTGGGGATAATCTTGAATGAACTCCTTTTCCCAAAAATGGGTAACTGATTAAGAACCTGAATTATATCTGCAAAGTCCCTTTTGCCATGTAACATATTCACAGGGGTCGCAGCAAGAGGAAGAGGTCATGGGGGCCAAAATTCTGCCTCCTTAGCTCTGATGAAAACCCAGACGTGGCTGGGCGCTCCCGGGAGCTCCTGACTCAGTGGATCTGGGGTGTGGCTGCGTGTTGGAGTATCCCGGTGAGGATGCTGCTGCGGGTCCAGGAGCCACACTGAGAACCACAGGGTAGGGGTAGGCCCCGGGGCGGGCAGAGTGTTCCACCAGGTCCCCCTGAGTCCTAGGAGTGGGCCTCATTCCAAATGTTTGTGTCTTTGCTGCTTTTAAAGGTCCTAGTGGCTTCCCAGTGTAGCAGCTAAGCTAGAGCTGAAGGAAGATGTGGCCGCACACCTCCGGGCGAGGCCCACACTGTGGCCGAGACTCAGTGGAGGGCGGGCCACGGGAGAGCATCTGGTCGCCTGTGGCCGGTGGCAGCGGGTTCTGCCTCTGGATAGGGCGTCCGAGGCTTCCCGAACCCTCCCGCAGCAGAGGTCCTCAGGGCGAGGTCCCCGTCCCAACAGCGGCGGCACCATCTGGGACCCTGTCAGCAATGCAAATTCACGGGTACCCAGAGCACTGACCCAGGAGCTCTGGGGCGGGCCGGCGCGCCTCGTTTTCACAAGCCCTGCAGGTGGCTCTGTGCTGGGCGGAGGATGGGAGGACAGTGCTGGGCTTGGAGCTGGAAGCTCTCCTTCAAGTAAGTGCACATAGACCCCGAAGATCCCAGGAGAAAGCACTTCGGGCAGGCGGAGAGGAAACGACAGGTAATTCTGGCTCCGTAAATTGCATGGACTGAGAGTTTCTGTGACAGGGAAGTAAAGAAAGTCACTTTTTAAAATTGCGAAGTGGGAACCGCCCATGTCCCATTTCTCGTTAAAGTCACTTAGCACCATCTAGTGGTGTAGTTTGTGTAAGACAGTGTGTAATGAGTTTGGTGCGTGTGTGTGTGTGTGTGTGTGTGTGTGTGTGTGTAAAAGACCTTGCACCCAAAGGTGTCTGCGGTCCTAAGGACTGAGGTGGGAGCTCGCCTCTCCAGATGGGGTGCGCCTCAGGCTCCTACCTTCGTCCTGCCCTCAGCAGCTCACAGCCCAGTGGGGAGACGTACAAATTGGGCAATCTAACAGTCCGGGTGGGAATAGCATTCACCTAGCTCTGGATGAAGTTCAGGTTGCCAAATGGCCCCACCTTGGAGGAACCCTGGGCCACCCTCTCTTCTCTTCGTCTCCTGACCCCTCCTGAGGTTTCTGGGACCTGCCCCTTTGCTCATTCCTTCTCTCCTTTCCGGGAAGTCCTTTTCCTTCCTTGGTTCCCAGGACAGGTCCTACCTCCTCTTGGCAGCC